GATGGAACAACCACAGTATCACTGCCATACCTGAAAGAGAACTTAAATGTGCAAGGTGTCTGTGAGGGTAGCATTTGGGGTCTGAGGCTGATAGTAACTAGAGTCATAGCTAACATTTGTGAGCACTGACCATGTACCAGGCCCTGGGCTAGGAGCTTCAATGAATCCAATCATATTCAATCCTCACAATGTTCAGGGGGTTTTAATCCCCATTTTATAGAAAATAGAATCTTTTAAAAGTCTAGATATCTGTTAAATTTGAACATACATTGCCAAATTAAGTTTCTTAGTGTTCTCTTTGTAATTGACAGATGCTCCGGTAAGATAAAGATCAATGATGGACCAAGAATAAAGGAAGGAAGAGAAGGAGAGCAACTTTTAAAACACTGTGTATTCCTTCCATCCCCTCTGCTTTACCATTTATGCAGAAAACTACATCTAAAAACATAGAAATGAAAGATGGAGAGAGTAGGAGCCCTTATTTTTGCTGTTTGGGCAGAGCCCTTTGGAGCTGATCTGACCATTCAAAGCAGCTCCAAGGGTCTTGCAGTCATATAAGCTGAAACTAGGAATGTGCCTGATACATTCTGAAATAGAGGTGGTCCCTGCAGCGGCTTATTTGATGATTTTATTCCTTCATGAATGATGTCTTGACAGATGGTTTTTACTGAGTGTTATAGAGGATTCTTTTTTCTAAGCACAATCTCAGTCCCCAAATTATATTTAATATTTTGTCAAACTACCATCTTCCACAGCTTATAGAATTAAATATATACATATGAATCCACATGTTCTGGCTCATAACTTTCTACTTTGATAATTTTTACATATATTATCATAAACAATATTTTAATTGTTGTTTTTCAGTCGCTAAGTCGTGTCCAACTCTTTGTGACCCCATGGACTGTAGCCTGCCAGACTCCTCTGTCCATGGAATTCTCCAGACAAGAATACTGGAGTGGGTTGCCATTCCCTTCTCCAGGGGATCTTCCTGACCCAGGGATCAGACCTGGGTCTCCTTCATTGCAAGCATATTCCTTACCATCTGAGCCACCATGGAAACCCATTCACTTCTTAACAACCATGAAATGTGTAAAGAAGAAAATGTTAACTGAAAAGGCTCATATAAGAAAGAACAACTAAACAAATGGAAACTCCTTAAAGGGAAACTTTTAAAAAAATAATGTTTCATGACAACTTAGAATAGCTTCACAGAACCGAAATAATGAAAACTCAAACCACCACCAATGATGATGGTGGTACCAGGACAATGAGTGATTAATAAGAAACTGAAGAAACTTGAAAGTCCTTGAATCTAATATCCAAGTGTGTCAAGACATCAATTTTCATGCCTGTTCAGATATAAGGAGAAAAGGAAAGGGAAAGCAATGAAGCATGCAAGAAGGGAAGATATCGTTGGGTAGTCGCGGAAAGTTCTTAAAAGGGGTGTTGACAGATAAAAACCCAGAGCTGAATTCCAGTAAGGAATGGAAATGGGTCTTGTGCAACCTATGGTTCCCTACAGTCCCTTCATCTAAACATGCAGCACTGACACTAAGAGGATGTCCCTGATGAAGTCCCTTGTCCCTGTCTTAGCCCACTTACCTTCTTCCTTGGGCTTCCCACTTTTGGCTAGAGAATGTAATAACAGTAGCAAATAGTTGCAGTTGAATCACTGTGGGCCTGACACTATGCTAAGGAACTTTACTTGTATGATCTCTTTTAATCATCACAACAACCCTCTGAAACGGGTAACCTACGGAGAAGGCAATGGCAACCCACTGCAGTACTCTTGCCTGGAAAATCCCATGGACGGAGGAGCCTGGTGGGCTGCCGTCTATGGGGTCACACAGAGTCGGACACGACTGAAGCGGCTTAGCAGCAATCGTCCACATTGAATAGTCCAGGAGACTGAAGTTCAGCAAGGGTAAGTAACTTATCCAAGTTCACACAGTTGGTGGCAAACATTGGACTTGAAGACAGCCCCCTGCATGATGCTTTAATGCCTGGAAAGAAGTATTTAGTTGCAGAGGTTAAAAGTAATGACATATAAACACCGCTTCTGAGACTTTTATTCAGTATCTTCTTGCCATGGTCATCCTTCCATATTGACAAGCATCATCTGTGACTCCAACAGTGTCTCCTCACTCAGCTGTTCACAAGGTGCATTTAGAACCTTCCAGACAAAGTCTTCCCAGGTGGCTTAGAGTTACAAAAATCTGCCTGCAATGCCCTGCCAATGCAGGAGACACACATCAGGAAGATTCCCTGAAATGGCAAGCTACTCCAGTATTCTTGCTTGGGAAATCCTATAGACAGAGGAACCTGGCAAGCTATAGCCCACAGGGTCACAAAGAGCTGGACAAAGCTTAGCAAATAAACAACAACACCACAACAGATGAAGTCTGCCTCTGTCCATAGTAATGATTCAAAATGAAACAAATCATGTCCAGAATCTTCTCTGAAAATTAGCCTTTGAGCATTCTCATTGGTGTTCTCACTTTTAAATTTTTAATTTGTAGAGCTAACAGGATGAGATCACTGTTTCCAGGGTTGGAAATATTCTCCACGGGAGTTCCTTCTGTTGAAGGATGTCCCTGTAAAGCTGGGAGCTAAGCAAGGCTATGCTCTAGCTCCTGGGTGTCAGTACCATGCTTCTGGGGCAGTGGGCAAGGTTGCTGCACATTTTGTCTCTGGAAAGGACAGGTGAATGGAGAACTTGAGAAGAGTACTGGGAACTCCACAAAGACAGAAACCCTTTTGTGCTCCCAACACAGTGCCCAGCTGAGGATGACAGGCCCTGTCCTAGAAACTTGAGGGTGCCAGCACTGTCCTCACCTTTGAAAGGCTCACCACCTGACTCTGAATCCTGCTGAGTCCTCAGCATATTAAAAAGCAGAGACATTATTTTGCAAACAAAGATCTGTCTAGTCAAAACTATGGTTTTTCTAGTAGTCATGTATGGGTGTGAGAGTTGGGCCATCAAGAAAGCCGAGTGCCAAAGAATTGATGCTTTTGAATTAGTGTTTTGGAGATGACCCTTGAGAGTCCTTTGGACTGCAAGAAGATCCAACCAGTCCATCCCAAAGGAAATCAATCTGGAATATTCATTGGAAGGATTGATGCTGAAGCTGAAGTTCCAATACTTTGGCCACCTGATGTGAAGAGGTGACTCCTTAGAAAAGACCCTGATGCTGGGAAAGATTGAAGGCAGGAGGAGAAGGGGACAATAGAGGATGAGATGGTTGGATGGCATCACTGACTCAATGGCCATGAGTTTAAGCTAGCTCCATGAATTGGTAATCGACAGGGAAGCCTGGCGTGGTGCAGTCCGTGGGGTCACAAAGAGTTGGACATGACTGAGCGACTGAACTGAACTGAACTGAGTCCTCATTGCAGGAGGGCATGATGTGAGCACCTGGCCCAGGGAAGCCTTCTCAGAAAGTTCCATCAGACTGAGACCTATGGAAGAAGTCCAACTTTTCCAGGGATCATAGGAAAGCACCCTTGAGGACAGTCCTTCTCAAAACTGCAAGCTCCTAGGGAGATTGGAAAAACATAGTGATGCCCAAGGCCCATGCATGCGGATGAAAACGCTGTAGGCTAAAGTGTGAGCTGGGCACTGGGACTTTAGTACTTCAACCTTCAGCCAGAGCTGAGCATCTGCACCTGAACTGACTGTACTTTACAGTCACCTAAGAAGTTTTCGGAGTCCCTCCCCAGAGAATTCCAGTTTGTCTGGGACATGGCATCTTTAGGCTTGAGAATCGCTGTAGGTGTTAGTAGCAGCATGTACAAGGGCCAGAAACAGAACACATGGCCAGTCCCATGGTAGGAGTGTAAGGAGGAGAAGTAGGCGCTACAGGTTGGGGAGGGCCTAGACCAGGAAGAGACTGGGAGCCCAATGATGACTTTTGACCTTTGAGGGATGATGGGTAGAAAGTGAGAGGTTTAAGAAAAGAAAGTGACATTATAAAATTTGCTTTCAAGATACTGAATGCAAGATGGAAGGCAAGGAGCGCATTTGGTTGGAGGTGATCCACAGGCAGACTGGTGGAAGATGGGGATGTTGGATATAAGACCCAGAAATTTTTGTCTCAGGTCTCTTTAATTCTGGAGGGACAAAGAAAATCAACTTTTTTTTTTTTCTTTTCTTACTCAAGTGATTTACAGAAAAGAAAAGCATCTTTCCTCAGACACTGCAGGATCCCTGATTGGGGAAGGAGGGTGGAGGGTAAAAAGAGGCTGTCTGGAAAGTTCCTAAAGAATGTCCAGTTCATTCATCAGAAGAGTCCAGCAACATCTGTGCAGTGAGGGACAATTTGATTTCACTCTTGAGACAAGGCAGGGGGAAGGCTGAGGTGTTGCAGGAACTAAATTCAAGAACTATATGTTAATCGTCACCTTGGTATGTGCCGAGGCCTAATGAAGATCCAGGTCCACTTTGGTATTTACTCTGACAAACTTGGCTCCTGATGTTTTTTGCCTTGGGATTACCTAGGAAAGGAAGAGGTGATGGGGAGAGGATGTTTGCGGTCAAACATCTTTCTCAGGTGACTGCACCTGCTGGGAAAACGGCCCCAAGCCTGGCATGATTCAGAAGTCTGAGAAAGCAGTAGGCAGTGGCTCATGGGAAAATGATGACTTAGCACCACACAGCAAACATGGCATAAGAATAGAGTATGAAAAACACCCGCACATATCTGGAACACATCCTTCATGCAGGCGCTAGCCCCCCTGCCCCGGGTGAGCCTGCTGAAATCAGCATAAATCGGCACGACATGCATTATGAGTTCTCTCCCTCCCTCAAGTTGCAGATGAGAAATGTCACCTCAGCTTGGTACTGACAGTGACTGACGCCACTGAAATGTGCCTTGGGGCTCTTTTAAAGTCCCCTTCCCGTGACGGGTAATATTAAGTAATTAAATATCAAGCTGTGTCTTTCCAGTTCCATCTTGGAAGTGGGACTGCGCCGCCTCTTGTTGGAGAAGCAGGACGGTTCGTTACCTACCTGGAGTGTCTTCGACTGTGGGCATCCCCCGCTGTTCTTTAACCACGCAAAGCTGCACCCGAGCTTGTTTGGCGTCTGCTCTGTCGAGTGTCCGTGATGTCGGCCCCGGAGGGAGGTGAAGGCTTTGTGGTCAAGCTCCGTGGCCTGCCCTGGTCCTGCTCTGTTGAGGATGTGCAGAATTTCCTCTCCGACTGCATGATCCATGACGGGGTCACAGGTGTTCATTTTATCTACACTAGAGAGGGCAGGCAGAGTGGTGAGGCTTTTGTTGAACTTGAATCAGAAGATGATGTAAAATTGGCCTTTAAAAAAGACAAGGAAAGCATGGGACATTGGTACATTGAAGTGTTCAAGTCCCACAGAACTGAGATGGATTGGGTGTTGAAGCACAGAGGTCCAAACAGCGCTGACACTGCCAGTGATGGTTTCGTGCGACTTCGAGGACTCCCGTTTGGATGCACCAAGGAAGAGATCATTCAGTTCTTCTCAGGGTTGGAAATCATGCCAAGTGGGATCACATTGCCTGTGGACCCCGAGAGCAAGATTACAGGGGAAGCCTTTGTGCAGTTTGCCTCACAGGAGTTAGCAGAGACGGCTCTAGGGAAGCACAAGGAGAGAATAGGGCACAGGTATACTGAGGTGTTCAAGAGCAGTCAGGAAGAAGCTAGGTCATACTCGGACCCCCCACTCAAGTTCATGTCAGTGCAGCGGCCAGGGCCCTACGACCGCCCTGGCACAGCCAGGAGGTATATTGCCATCGTCAGGCAGGCAGGCCTGGAGAGGAGGAGGTCTGGGGTCTACAGTGTGGGCTATGGGGGTTATGAGGAGTACAGAGGCCTCAGAGACGGCTACGGCTTCACCACTGACCTGTTTGGGAGAGACCTCAGCTACTGTCTCTCTAGGATGTATGACCACAGGTCTGGAGGTGGCGAGTTCACTGTCCAGAGCACCACTGGACACTGCTCCACGTGAGAGGGCTGCCCTACAAAGCCACGGAGCACGACCTTTACAACTTCTTCTCCCCGCTCAACCCTGTGAGAGGCCACATTGAGACTGGCCCTGATGGAAGAGTGACCGGCGAAGCTGATGTTGAGTTTGCCACTCACAAAGAAGCCATGGCAGCCATGTCCAAAGACAGGGCCAACATGCAACATAGATACATAGAACTTTTCTTGAATTCCACAACTGGGGCCAGCAATGGGGCAGATAGCAGCCAGATGATGCAAGGCATGGGGGTGTCAACCCAGTCCATTTACAGTGGCCTTGAGAGCCAGTCTGTGAGTGGCTGTTGTGGGTCTGGCTATGGTGGCCAGAACAGCATGGGTGGATATGACTAGTTTTGTAGTAGCTTTTGAGTTATTTCAGTCAAATTTTCACAGGCAGCCAACAAGCAGTGAAAAGCAGTTATTACTCTAGAGGAAGCTATGGGACCCATTTTGCAGCATGAGTTTGTGAAATCTGTTTTCTCCTGCAAACTTTCTTCTAGTATGTGATATTGAGTAAACTAAAACTATTTTCAGCTTTTCTCAATTAACATTTTGGTAGTGTACTTCTGGAGTGATATTATCTGAGTTTAAAGTAGCTTTAAGTATGTTAAATGTGGATCTTTTATACCACATCATTGTGAACACACTGGGGAGGCGTGCTTTTTTGGAAAACTCAAGATGCTAGATCCCTAATTCAAAGAGGACATTTCTCACGTTTGTTAATTCTAGTTTATTTTCATTTAAAATTTCTTAGGTTAAGTTTAACCTTTTTAAAAGTTAGTTTTGAAAATTGAGACACATTACTAATACTCTAGGAATTGGTGAGGCCTTGACTTAAAAACTTTCTTTGTACTGTGATTTCCTTTCGGGTGTATTTTGTTAAGTGAAACTTGTTACATTTTTTTGTTAACTAAATTTTTTTCTTAAAATAAAAAGACTTTTTCACACACACAAAAATAAATATCAAGCTGTATCAATAATTTGCTTCTCAAAATTGGGAATCTTTCATCAGTGTGAAGATAATTCTGAAGATAAAAGAATCATAGTGTCCTTCAGGTGTAGGATTCACTGTGATCTAAGGGAGGCCAATAGAAAATCAAGAAGGACTCTCCATTTATAACCTTAAATAGAGTACTGTCTAGGGACTTCCCTGGTGGTCCAATGGTTAAGACTTCACCTTCTAATGCAGGGGCTGTGGATCAACCCCTGGTCAGGGAGCTAAGATCCTACATGCCTCATGGCCAAAGAAACAGAACATAAACAACAGAAGTAATATTGTAACAAATTCAAGAAAGACTTTAAAAGTGGTCCACATCAAAAAAAATGTTTTTAAATAAATAGACTATAATCTATAAAAATATCAAATCACTATGCTGTACACCTGAATTAATTTTGTAAATCAACTATATTCAATTAAAAACAATTAAAAATATTTCATCAAATTGTTTCTGTCCTCGTAGCCTTGACTATCTGTGTGTGTATATTAATACCACTTTACATAATTTAGCATGTTCTTCAAAATAAAAATAAAATAGTTCTACATAATGGGAAGGGGCTTCCCAGGTGGCACTAGTGACAAAGAACCTGCCTGCCAATGTAAGAGACAAAAGAGATGTGAGTTCGATCCCTGGGTCTGGAAGATCCCCTGGAGGAGGGAATGACAACCCACTCCAATATTTTTGCCTGGAGAATCCCATGGACAGAGGAGCGTTGTGGGTCCATGGGACTGCAAAGAGCCAGACAGGATTGGAGCCATTCAGCATGCATGCACATAATGGGAAAAAAAGAACCCTCAGGGGGTCAGGGCATCAGAGATCTAATCTATATTTTCCAGATGGGTTAAAACACTAGCTCTTTTCATTAAACTGTCAGCATGGCTAAGTTTTTACACTTATCTTGAACTCCTTCTATTAGGTCAAAACACAGGGTGGAGTGGCTTGCCCTTTTAGTTTCTTTCTTAAAAATATTTATAAATGATGCCATTTTCTGAGCTTCTATTTGCCATGTGCTTTTAAAACATTACTTAGTGAATCTTTACAACAGTTCTTCAGAGTATAGAGTTACTTCCGGTCTTTTTTTGGCTGAGAGTGAGGCTTGGAGAGGCTGAGTGCCTTCCCCAATAGGGTGTCCCAGTTAGTGGCAAAGCTGGGCTGGGAATCCACCTCTAACTGGCTTTCCTTTTTTATCTATCATCCTCCTACAGCACCTCAGTGACTCTTCTCTCTAGGAAACCATGTCCCTGGAGGCCAAGGCCAGAATATAAGATACACTGTGCAGTTCACAGAATCAGCCCCTTCCCCAGGACTCAGCTTTATGGGAAGTAGTCTCCCCTATTCAGTCATCTCTTTTTTGATGTATTGGCTATTTAATGACCAACATTTTTGATCAAAGGGAGAGGGTGATGAATGTGCTAGGGTCCCTGCTGTCATGGAGTATGGGGTTTCATGGGATAAAAAAGGTGATAAAGGAATCAATATCTGAAATGCATCCAGTGACTTGGGTCGAGGGCAGTAAACTGGGTTTTCAGAGGCTTCTCTAGGTCTTCCTTGGTTAAGAATATACCTTCCAGTGCATGGGATGCTGGTTCGATCCCTGGTTGGGGAACTAAGATCCCACAGGTGGCAAGGCAACTAAGCCTGTGGGCTGCAACTCTTGAGTCCACGTGCCACAATGAAAGATCTCGTGTGCCACAAGGAAGGCCTGACAGCCAAATAAATAAATATTTTTTAAAAGAGAGAAGACTTCTCCACTGAGTGCTATTTAAGGTGGAAAGGGAATGATGTGAAGGAACCAGTCATGCGAAAATCTGCTGCAAAAGCCTTCCAAGCACAAGGAACAACCTGTACAGAGTCATAGAGGCTAGAAAGTGCATGATGACCACACAGTTGCTGCCCTCTCCCCTCAGAGAGACACACATCTCTTGAATACTTAAGGTAAGGCAGTCATTGTGTTACTGTGCAATGATACAGGTGTGCATAATTCTAAACCATTTCCTATGTGAAATATGCTAAGATAATCCTGCGAATAACTATGACACATGAAGGAGTTAGATTCTAGGAAGAAAGCAATTTTTGCAGCTAGTATTTCTGAGTGATGTCTTTGTTCCTATCACGGTGTTGTGTTCCTTTGCATGCATTATCTTGTTAACCCTCATTTAATAGAAGTGGCCATTATTATTTTTATTTTATAGGTGAAGAAATAAGTCTCAGAGAGGTGGTATCAGTTTGGTAGGGCTGCCATGACAAAGTCCATAGACAATGTAGCTTAAACCATGGAAATGTATTTTCTCACAGTTTTGGAGGCTAGAAGTGTGAGATCAAGGCATTGGCAGAGTTACATTTTTCTGAGAATTCCCTCTGGCTTTACCATCTTCTTGCTGTATCTTCATACTCTCTCCCCTCCATACAGGTGTGTGTCCAAATTCCCACACCTTATTAGGACACTGCTCATATTGGATTGTGAAAGTGAAAGTCACTCAGTCATGTCTGACTCTTTGCAATTCCATGGACTATACAGTTTATGGAATTCTCCAGGCCAGAATACTGGAGTGGGTAGCCTCTCCCTTCTCCTGGGGATCTTCCCAACCCAGGGATCGAACCCAGGTTTCCTGCATTGCAGGCAGATTCTTTCCCAGCTGAGCCAAATGACCTCATTTTAACTTAGTTCCTCTGTAAAGGCCCTATGTCCAAATACAGTCATGTTCTAAGGTACTGAGGGTAAGGATTTCAAGATATGAATTTGAGGATTGGGGGGAAATAATTTAGCTCATCCCTCAAGAAGGAACTGGCAGCCCACTCCAGTATTCTTGCCTGGGAAATCCCATGGACAGAGGAGCCTGGTGGGCTATTGTCCATGGGGTAGCAAAAGAGTCAGACATAGTGGCTAAACAACAACAATTCGGCTCATGACAGAGGTTAAAATGAGTCTCTCAAGATCAAATGGAGAGTAAGCAGCTCATCCAGGGCGTGAAGTTGCCTCCTTCCTGCTCTGTGAGCCTTAGGATGACTCTGTAGTCTTGCTCCTCCTGGTTCCCTGGTTGGTGTTTGGCCTTGAACTCCTGCTGTGTGCCTGCTGTGGGTGCTGAGGGCAAGTGCCCGGAAGGGTTCCCCAGCTCCCTTTCTGGATGAAGCTGCTGTGTCATGGAGGAGAGATATAGGAAACAGGTAAACAAACACACAACAAGGCCATTACAAACATATATCAAATACCATAAAGGAAATAGATAGGAGGATGTGTGATGTGACAGAGCATGACTGGGTAGGAGTGGGCATCTCCTTTTGAGAGGAGGGTCACCAATGTGCTCTCTAAGAAGGTAATAATCTTTTTCTTAAAGGTCATTTTATTGTAAAACCATAAGTGCAACATTGGCAAGAAATTATTTAAGCAACTGATCTTCTCTAATCATTAAAAGGGTGTCTTTTTGCCTTGGCATCAACCAACTGGGAAATTACGTTGCAAGAAACTTTGGGGGTAAAGAATGCTGAATTCTGGACTGGAGTTTTTGGCTATTTAAGGAACCAGGGGTGGAACCTTCCTCTTTTCCCTGGGAATGATCCCACTTTAAGATAAGAATAGTCAGGTAAAAACAGCAATTTTTGAACAGCTCAGTTTTAAATTCTGTTACTTTGTAAAAATCTTTTTATTTTAAGAAGGTAATCTTGACACTGAGACCTACAAGGGAAGGTGTCAGATCCGTGTCAGGTTAGAGATGAGTGATCCTGAGGTGAAAAGATCTCTTTTTAGGTAAGTCACATCCCCATGCTGCTCAGCATTGGTGCTATGACAGCAAACCTGTCTTTGCAACACAGAGGGTGGTGCCTTAGAGGAAAAGAACTTGGGAATGGCTAGAGCAGAAGAGTGGGAATCAGAATCTCTGGGTTCTAATCCACTTCGGCACCTACTGCTATAGGGTTTGGAAGGTCCTCCTCTTTAGCTGAGCCTCAGCTTCCTCCTATGGGAAGCAGGAATTGTTTAACACACAGCACTCACCCAGCCTGGGCCCAGAGCTTGTTGCTGTGGACGCGTGAGCTCACATCCCCAACAGGGCTCCTCAGACTGAACCATATCCTGTGAATAGACTCGGGGCCACAACAGAGACCTACAGCCAGGGTTCTAACAAGTTCATCTATCTGCATCTTTTTTTCCTCCAACTTTTACTTGAAGGTGATCCCTGCTCAGAGCCCCCTATTGCGTGAAGTGATTAAACTCATTTGCTACAGCAAAACATATAAGAAAGTAGGTAGATTGTTTCCCTCCATTCATTAAACACTGCAAGAGAAGCTGGTTACTTTTTGTAGCTAGGAAGCCTCACAGATTGTGCTCTATTTCCCTTGAGAACTCAAGCATGCCAGGTACACCCTGACCTGCCAGCATGGGGTCTGACCAGAA